TGATGAACGGAGGGGTTTTATCAAGAGGCATTAATTGTCCAGTCCTGCGACAAGGTCAGTCATAATAAAGGATGAACTCTGCGCGCAATTGATTGGCCTTGTTTCTCCTGTCGCCAAGAAACTCTTTCACCAGCAGCACGGATCAAAACTTTGCCTTCTGGATCCAAATTATGAAGCGACGCCAAGACAGCAGGACTTTGGAAATTAATTAACCAACGGCTTCTCTTTGAAGATAACGTCGGTACTGCTTAATCATCCGGTTGGCCCGATTATTATTAAACCGTATTTTATACTGTTTGAGCTTTATACGTAAACGATTTCCCAAATGCAGTATCCCATAAAATTCTCTATGCAGATGATATGGGTCTTGAAACTTCGGTTTCCTGCTGGAAACCGCAGGGAAGGTTTTTCAGGAGACGGTCCGGACGGGGGCCTTACTTCACAAGCTGGCACCTGAATACCCAGCGCGTCAAAGCCACTCGACTTTGCTGTCCATCTGAACAACCGCGAAGCCACAGCTGCGATCGGCGTGAGCTTCTCTGGGTGCCTCCATATGATCAGCATGCGGTGCCTTCAGGGATATCAAGTTGATCTCCTAGCGCGGCGAATTTGTTGCTTTCGTGGAAATGGTTTGCTCAGCGTGCAGTTCTCACTTACAACTTACCAGTCAACCAGAAACAAAGAAATCAGTGATTACAGTAGCCAACGCTACAAAAGGTAAGTTCCGTGCTGATGTTGAAACGCTCACTCCTTGTCTGGCGAAGGTAAGTTAGCCGATGTTTGCCATAAGGCACGTACTGGCAGTCACGGAAACTCGCCTTTAGGATACGAAGACGCCCACTCTACAGGACGACTAATTATTTTGGTCTTTAGGCGACAGTGGATTACGTCGTGCCAGTGTAATAACCCTTTTCTCCCTTAGGGTAGACCGTGAGGTAGTTTCGGTGCGGAAAATGTAGGATAGAATCCTGATCGATGGCGTGAGCCTCAAACAGGTAACGCTGAATGTCCCGACAAACGTGTCGAGTGAAAACGACTAAAATGCTTGCTATGGTTTGTTATAGTTAGCCGTTAGCGGTTTGCCACGTCACGGCTACACAGTTGTCACCGACGACCTCCTCATCGCAAATGTTGGCCGCAGAGTAGAACACATGACCGTGAGTACTTGGCCATCATGGTATTGACAGCGTGAAAGACGGTGGCAGGCGTCTGTTATGCTTTTACCCCACCAGCGTAGTGATTGTCGGCGGGACTCTTTCTTGTCACAAGCGCATTCACCAAACCGCCTGGAAGTCTACCGACGGAAACCTAAGCACCCAACCGGACCACCTCATCATCAGCCGCAAATGGCACAGCTCGTTACTCGAGACTCGCGTCAGGCATGGCATCTGTGGTAGGTTGAATCATCATTTCGCCATAGCGCAACTTCATCTAAAATTAGCCGTGTCGCATCGACACCGTCTAGTAGAATCGCATCAACTGTTCAGTACTGATAGGCTAAAATGACGAAGCGGGGGATCGGCCTACCAAAAGGGAGTAGAGAGTTTTCTTCAGGCTAATCTTACTACTCAGTCAAGAAGTGGCAACGTGGATAAGCTCACAAAGACTTCAAAGAAGTCGTCATTTTCTTGTGAAAACTGTGGTTCGAGTCAGTAAGAGAATAGCCAAACTGTCATTGGTTACGGAGAAGACCTTAGCAGTTACAATGCAAAGAAATCAGCTAACGAATGAGTAGCTGAAACTACCTGCTGCACCCTAAAAATTAGCTTTTCTGCAGTCAAACAGAGCTACAGGCGGAACAGAGAATTGTGGCTGGAAGATCAACAGGTCATTCAAAAAGGGTGAGTGACGAATAGTGTTCAAAGGGGTGCGACAGTTGTCTGGTAAGCAGAGGAGTCGGTCTCATTTTATCCAAGACGTGAAGGATGTACCAGTAGAAGGTTGAAAAGCAGGCCTCGAAAGATGGGCTGAGTATTTCCGGAAGCTCCTCAGTGGCTGCCCTGCAGATTCGTCATTTCTGACCTTAAATTCTTTACCAACACTAGAAGTTAGAAAGGATCCATTCACCATACTAGATGTCCATAAATTCTTCCTACAACTAAAGGTGAAGAAGGCCTGCGGGTTAGATCGAATTT